TCCCCATTTTCAAATTTATGTCAAAAATGATAAGCCCTAACTAATTACCGCCAGGTGTGGGGTTGAAATCCTTTTCCAAGAAAGTTTCACAATATTATCAAAGGCTTAAATTAATTGTCCATTGTGTGTCTAAACGGTTTTGGAAACAAGGATGACCACCAGACAGCCAAACAATAATATCTAAATACCAAGAAACATAAAGGTACTTTAAGATTTTCCATAAACATTTTGCTGATTTTTAATACCCTAACATTTTCAACTAGTTCTTTGGGAATTACACCCTGTATAATAAAAATCTATTGCATTTTTCACGTTAGTAACAGACTTGGTAAATTTGATTTAACGCATTTCTTTGTTTAATTTTAGTTTAAGAATTAATTTTTAAGAATGTGGAAACCATTCTGAAAAAAACTAGCACAAGAAAATTAAAAACACACGTGAGCTAGGAAGGATTAACTTATCACGTGGGTGGAGTGGCTTAATATCCTCGATAAGTCTGATTTATTTACATATTGTGCTTTGGCCTTGAAAAGCAATTACTTGTGCTTTATAAATGTACCGAGCAATTTGCAAAACTTTCTTCTCTTTATAAATCCTTGATTACGACTTAGAGGTGACCATAAATTATCACTCAGAGTCAGTGGCGGCTCGTGACTGTCTGATGTGGTGAGGCGATGATAGAAGTTTGACAATAATAATATTAATAATAATATTATTAATCAAATTAATTATGATAGAAGTCCTGCCCCAATAGCGGTCATTTCCGGGTCAGTGGTAGGTCCAATAATAATAATAATAATAATAATAATAATAATATTAATAACACCCATAACACATTTAATCAACAATGTTTTTATAAATCAAAATTTTGTTTAAACTAGCACTTTCTTGGAGGGATTCGGGAATAGTTGTTGTGTTCCTTTCCAAAGATTTTAGACCCATAAAATTTTTAATGTGTACTTTGGAACTTTCATGTAACTTTGCACTTCGGATGAAATTATTTAAATCGTTATATCCCGGGACGTCGTACGAATATTACGGCAGAACCATTTATATGTTTCGCACCAAGTTGATTTAAAAGACTTGAGTACTAACGTTTCTGTCTCTTATTAATGGAAGTTAAATGAATTAACGGTTTTGACTGCTCGATATTTAGCAAAATTTGCCAACGTTCTAGCTCGGTTCGTCGTGAAAACGGCGTTTCAAAATGGAACATGACGATATGGTACTCGGGATTCATTTTTCACTCACCTGTACCTATGAAAGAGACAAAAACACGAAACATCAACACGTGGGTTTTTACTCACGTTCATGCTAATTACACACGCACCCCGCAACCCTTCCGTTCTGTACAATAAATGGGAAAATGGTTTAATGAGTACGCCGAAAATGGTCGAGAAGCACCGAAGATATCGCCTCAGTTCCGAGCGAACGCATGTATAGGAGTATAGGAGCTGAGCCAGGCTGAGTCATGGAAATCCGTGTCTGTGATTGGGCTTCGTTGGTTCAAGTGAACCGACGTTCTGACCGCTTCAGTTAAAGAACTAGGGGCATAAATCGTACGGTATTCAACCGAAAATGTCAGCAGAAACGTAAAAAATAAAAAATCATCTACAGATTTGCCATTTCAACATATTTTTGTAACTAAAAATGCATTGAAAGCTCTTTTTTAATTACCAATTAAGTCAATCTGTTCTTAAGATATGTGCTGTGAGGCGCCGCCTCACTTGCCTCATCTGACGAGCCGCCACTGCTCAGAGTAGGGAAGTATATAATAAGATCCGTTATTGTTTTGGAGCGGAACACCAAGGCACCAAGGTGTCGGCTATTAGGGACGGCTATTAAAAATAGTGACCGGCACGCTTTCCAAAGCAATTTTGTTTTTGATATGAGATCCTTTCAAAAATGTCGTAAATCATATTTTTAACCAAGTATTATTAATAGTTTACAACAGAAAATTGTAGACGTGACCTTGACAAGTATTTTAATTGAGTCCATTCAAGGACAAGTAGAAAGAATTAAACTTTGCTCAGGCTTTAAGGTTATCTATAAGCATAGTTTAGTAAAGATTGTCCAGAATTATATGAATTTTATGGACTCCCAACGTTAATTTGTTTCACAGCTCAGGCGTCAATTCTATTGTACAGGTAAAGAGCCTGTCAGGGGAAAGCCGATCTTTTCTATACCTGAGTTCGCCCCGCTCTTCAGCTAAACAATAAAACTGATAACAGGGCTGTAAAACAAATTAACTTTGGGAGTCCATAAAATTCATATAATTCTGGACAATCTTTAACTATTACTGACATATTGATTCCTTCTAAAAATTTGATATATTTCGGAGCATTCGGTTTTGGAGTTTCAAAATTAAATTGCAAAATGATGTTATAACAACTATAACTTTTTCCCCAAAAATCTGGATGCTAGGTTACAAAATCAAGACGGATTCATAAACAACACCTGTAGGTTATTAAATATTTGGAGGTGACTTTCGTGTTGACCTGAAAAATTTTGGTTAGTATTTTTTCTTGTGTCTGACGAGGACAGAAATAGAAAGGGGTTGATCCAACTTGTGTCCCTTTTACCTGTTTTAACGAAGCTTAAATTTTTGAGATGGTGACTTGAGTCTCAGGTCAAAATTATTTCGACAGAAATTCCCTCGCTTCTGAAAAGCCCAAAAATTAGAAAATCGAAAAATCAAAAAATCGATTAATCAAGAAGTTGAGAAATCGAATATTCAGAAACGCCAAAAATTCAAACATTGAAAAATTGAAAAATTAAAAATTCGAAACTGAAAAATTGAAGAATCGAAAATCTGAAAAATTGGCAAATCGAAATATCGAAAAATTGAAAAACTAAAACATTGAGGAAATATTCAAAAATCGTAAAATTCAAAAATTGGAACATCGAATCTCGGCAAATCGGGAGCACGAAAATTCGAAAAACTAAAAAATCGAACAATTTAAAAACAGAAGAATCTAAAACCAAGAAGTCAAAAAATCTAAAATTCAAAAAATTGAAAAATTTGAAATTTCAAAAATCAAAAAAGTGAAAAATCGGGAAATCGAAAAATTGAAAAATTGAACAAAAATTGAAGAATCGGAATATTGAAAAATCCAAAAAATCGAGAAATTGAAACATCAAATTCAGAAATAGATAAATGAAAAAATCGGAAACTCCAAAAATAAAAAATCAAAAAATCCAAAATTTAAAGCGAATTATTGGAAAATCGGAAAATTCAAGACTCGAAAAGCTGAAAATCGATAAATTGGAAAATCGGAAAACCGAGAAATCGAAATTGCTGAAAATCGAAGTATCGAAAAAGTTAAATACTGAAAATTTTAAAGTTAAAAAATATTGATAAATTGAAAAATGAAAAAAAAAACTAAAAATCGAAAAATCAAAAATTTTAAACATCGTAAAATTGATAAACCGAAAAATCGAAAGGTCGGGCAATCGAGAATTTAATAAACAGAAAAATTGAAAATTTCCCAAAACTGAAATGTTTAAATTGAAAAATCGAGAAATCTAAAAATCGAAAAGTCGAAAAATTTCAAAAATCGAAAAATTAAAAATCAAAAGACTGAAAAATTAAACAAAAATTGAACTGATAAAACTCGGCAAATTGAACAGTGGAAATCTGGGTAAATCCAGGCTGCGAAAAATCGAAAAACTGAAAAATGGAAAAATTTTAAAAACCAAATCTCAAACTACCAAGAAATCGAAAAACTAATTATCAAAAATTTAAAGATCGGAAAATCGAAGCGTCAAAAAATGTAAAAATTGACGAATCGAAAAACCGAAAAATCGAGAAATTAAAAAATTTTAAATTCAAAGAAATAGAAAAATCGGGAAATTAAACAATCGAAAAATCTAAAACCGAGACGTAAAAAATCAAAAGATCGGGAAATCGCAACCCCAAAAAACTAAAAATTTAAAATCAAAAAAACTAAAATTCAAAAAATTGAAAAATTAAAATATCTAAAAATTGATGACCTGAGAAATCGAAACATCTAAAAATAAAAAAATTTAAAAACCTAAAAGTTAAAAATCGAAAAGTAAAAAAATTGAAAAATTGACGAATCGAAATGTGGAAAAAATCGTGAAACTGAAATATCGGAAAATTAAGAAATCGAAATTAAAAAATCGAGAAATCGAAAATTGAAGAGTCGAAAAATTAAAAATCTTTCCTGACACCAAAAGGACACAAAAAATGCCTCTAAAAAATTCTAATTCAAAAATAAGTACAAAAAACTACACAAAAAAGTGACAAATCAAATAAACAAAAAACCACGTAACTGCGGATTTTCCAAGACTGAAAACATGCTTAAAATGGTAAATTTTATCTCCTATACTGCTCTACAAATTTACCATTTTAAACAAGTTTTCAGTTTCTTGTCGTGAATAAATAATAAAATATTAAATAAACTAAAAGTTTTACTACTAGTTATTCCGATAATGAATGAGTGATTTAGTTGTTAAACGTAGCAAAAGAAGCAGTTTCAAAATCATTATAACTGACCCAAAATGTGAGAAGGATTTTTTTTACTATTTTTCCTAGACTCACCAGTTGATTGTTAAGAGCGTAGCGGAGAGTTAATCCGCCATTTCCCAGACACCCGGTATAAGAAAAGAAAGGCAAAATACAAACCCCACCCACCCTCCCTAATCTTAATTGTGATGAATTTTCTTATTCGTCGTGAGTCGAGGGACGGAACTTAATTGCAAAATGCTTATTTCTCTACAAGAAACTACCATGTGAAACATGTTTTAAGTATTATGTTAATCAAAATCAGTCTGCGCTTGCAATTGAGATGCCTACAGAAAGCTCGTAAAAACAAAACATATTCAATTTCAATTTTATATTTACAAATTTATTACAAAATGCGTTACAGTTATGTACAAATAATAATAAAACTAAAATTGTGATCAGTTATCACAGAAATCGAATCACTGGCATTTTTTATCACAGATCGATCACTAACAACATTTTTGAAGTCGCCCTAGAAATCAACGTCCCAGTCTGTAATGTCGTACCAGTCCTCCGTCTGCGATTCGTCATCGTCCGAAGAGACGAAGTTGCTGCTATCGGTGGCGTTTTTGACCTGGGGCAAAACTGGTGGGGCGAGAGTTCTAGCCACCAGCGCCTCCCAATCAAACTCGCTAAAATATCTACAAAAAAAATGAGAACATTTTGAATTTCAAAAATCCATTTTTAACTTACTCATGTTGTTTAATATCATTCAAGCCTCCAAGGCGTTTGGAGGGGTCTTCTTTGCACAAACTTTTAATCAGGCTTGTGGCATTTTCTGTCAAGTTTTCCGGGAAAACGACGGTATCGATGCCTTTTAGTATGTTCGTGTAAGTCTCGTATTTGTTTTTCCCGGTAAAGGGTAGATCTCCACTGAGACACTCGAAGACCAGTACCCCTAGGCTCCAGAAATCAATCCTGAGGTCGTGGCCTTCTTTCAGGATGATTTCGGGCGCCATATAGTCTACCGTGCCACAGAAAGTTGTGGTTCTGCCGTCACAGCCTAGCTTCTTGGCAAGTCCAAAATCCACCAGCTTTAAGTATCCTTGGTCATCCAAAATAAGATTTTCCGGCTTTATATCCCTGCCAAGTAAATAAAATTTATAAATATTTCGAATGCAACGTCATAAATTTTACTGTGTCAAAATTTTCGCTCTTACCTATGGACGATATTTTTCGAGTGTATATACTCCAAAGCCTGTGCTACACACGCGGTGTAAAATTTCGTGGTATCATTGTCAAAGTAACGTTGTTTGTCTAAAATTGTCCACAAGTCACCCCCGAGGCAACACTCCATTAGCATGTATACATGTTCTTTGTCCCTGAACGTCCGGTAAAATTTAACTATAAAGTCGGAATTCAGTTCCTGTAAAATTCTCCTTTCGTCTCTAACGTGTTTTTGTTGCTTGGTTGCGACAATGTGCGACTTTTTCATTGTCTTTAGAGCGAAGGAGCGGCTGGAATCGCCTAGAATTTGCACCAAGTCGACACGTCCGAAGCCCCCAGCACCTAACGTCTTTACTCGCAAGACCTCTAGGCCGCCTAACTTTAAAGGTTTGTTTTCATTCGTGTCTCTGAAAAAGTGAACAAAAGCATGTCAAAAGAACTATTTGATTTTAAATATCCACCAAGAAACATAAGGGTCAGCCCAAAATTTTGATTTAGGCAAAGTCACCTTTGATGTTGGAGACTGGTTAAAAAAATACTAACTAATAAAGACAACTTTTAACAAACTAGTTAGTGTTATAAGTAAAAAAAGTCTTTTTAAATACCTTTGTTCCAATTTAATGTGTTTAATTATGCTGATGAAGACAAGTATTTTTCTTGTCAAGACCAGAAACAGGTCATACACTTTTGTCAAAAACATTTTTTTTATTATTCACTTTACACTGCAGGTATACACGGTGATCGAACTGACAGGCAGGTATCAAGTGAAATGAACTGCAAGTCCCTTAGATATATCAAAAACTATCCCCTCCCGGAATCCATTCAAAATTGTACATGTTGTATTAGAGTAAGTCTACAATAACAGTTTGGATTTTTAAGAATAGGAGCTTAAAAATTATAATTGTAGAGTGAGAAGGTAAATATTAAGCCGATAAGGAATTAGGTAATTACTTTACTTAAAATTTTGATTTGTTTTAGAAAATATTAAACGGATTTATAATAGAGTCTATTTAACGAATGACTAGTCTCTTATTAGAGTTAAAACACATAAAACTGCTAGTAAATTCAAAATAACGATTGAAAATATAAAAAAAAACAAAAGAATAACACACAATAAATTTGCGCTATGAACAAAATTGAAACCGGACAATTCCATTTTCGCAAATTTAGGGGAGGTAGTTTCTCGGTGCCGTGTGTGGCAATTCATTGTTTGTTTTACAAGTTTTAAAAATCAGTTCTCTTCAGAACTTTAAAATAAGATTTATAAATTTATATTATCTTTAATAAATTTCTTTTATTTTTTTTTTCATCTAATTAAATTGGATAGTCCGAAGTCTACCAGCTTTACGTATCCAAAATAATATTCTCGGGCTTCAACTACCTACAAATTTACCTGCAGAGTCCATCTGTGAGTACGGAATTGTTGGGTGAAACTTTTCCTGGAAGGCAGGTAGGACGAAGTGGCCAGCTAGATCACCTAATTTAACCCCACTTGGATTTTTCATCAGGGTTATGTAAAAAATCGAGTTTATGTTAATAGACCACAAAGCATCGAAGAACTCCAAGAAAGAATATTAAATGTGATTGCTGATATTCGCCCTAATATAATAACTTAATAACAGATTAATTTGATAACCTTGTGCAACGTATTTACTATTGACAGGAAGTAAATGGAAAACACTTGGAATATTTGTTGTAAAATGATTATTTTTTAAATGTTAATTTGATCTTTTTTCAATAATATATGTTTCATAGAGATGTACCGACTGTAGGTCTGGCCGACTAACCGACTAGCCGATTGTTCGGCCAGTAAAAACCGACTAGTCGGCCGACTGTTCGGCTTTGCAATAAAAAACCGGTTTATAAATGCGACAGAGAGTGTTTTTTTTTCTATTTCTCTGACTACCTTAAAAATTTGTTTTATTTTAATAAAAGGAATAACTAAAGTTCCTTTGTTTTCCAAAAAATGTGTTAAATTTGTTTGGATAATTTTAACAATTATTTTTTTTTTGTATTAACTCAATACAAAAATAAAGAATAACACAATTTAGGGCCAGTTTATACAATACAGTAGACGCCGCTTAATATGATCACGGTTAATGTTATCAACCGCTTAGTGTGATCAAAATCGCTTGGAACGGGCCCACGCAATACCTATGCATTACAGTTTTTCCGTTTATTGTGATCAATATTTCGCTTATTGTGATCAATCTCGCAATTCTTATACAAACGGGAATTGCTTTTTTGGAGAAGCGAGACGACTGAAACTAGTATTGTGTTTTAATGAACACTCATTGGTCTCAAAAGGTACATTCGCTTATACCACTCACTTTATACAACCACAATCGGTGGTCAAAAACAGACTTAAGTAATCAGTGCGTTTTCGACTTTTGAACGAACGAATTGTTTCTGTTTTAAATTTGAGTAGTACTTATGTAAAAATTAGCACGTCGAAACGATGAAATCTTAGTTTATCAGAGAAAAAAAAAAATTCTCAGCCCTTACTTAACAAATTTCTACAACAACGAAAGGAAATCGAGGGTTCCTTTCTCAGAATGGTAACCAAAATTTAAAATAAATTCTAATGTTTATGTACCTTCATCTATCAGCGTAATAATCACTGTCTTGTTCATGATTTTGTTTTGTTTCGAGTTTTACTGTCTTTGACGGTGGGGTTCGCTTATTATTATCAGTCGGTTAGTGTGATCAATTTGTCTGAGTCCCAAAGTGATCACATTAAGCGGCGTCCACTGTATTTTAACTGAGATTAAGTTGATCGCGCATTTAACAAGACCATTAGCGACGTCTGATTGGCGTAGAGTCGGTCACATGGTAGTCATGGTACTTTAACGCGGTGTTAAAAATTAAATCGCAACTAAGTATTTAATTGAGGTTCTGTAAACCGGGTTTAATTGTTGTATATACTATTTTAATTTTAATAAAAAAAGCCGACCAGTCGCCGACTGCCAGCCGAGGATGAAAAACGGCCGAATAGTCGACTTATCCGACCGGTCGGCTACTAGTACCGACTAATGTTTTATTTAAATTTTACAAAAAGCTTTCATAACAATGTATTCACTATTTACATACAATAATTAAATCCGAGTATTGTTATTTCTAGAATTTTTATTTTGACAAATTTATTTTACCATATAGAAAAAATAAAATAAATAATTCATGCGTTAAATTACCAGACATAAATTTTCCTAAGCATATTTTGGCTGTAGGTAAGTTGTCTCCCAATGGTCAAGGTGACAAAAAGGGTATAGGTAAATTCTCTCCCGGTTACGCAGGTACCTACACGGATTAAGGCGACTCGCTAGACGAGGTATAACATTTTTTTGGTTTTTTGTATGAGAAAATGATATTAATATAGATGTATCATACATCAAACTGCAGTTTTTTTATATTCTAGAGCGCAGAGACCAGTTCAATCAACTACAAAAATATGGCTGAGAAATATCGCAAAAAAAGCACCATTGTATGTTTTCTTTTCAAGTTTTTTGACTCATAACCATCATAGAAACGCTTGAAAGTTAGCACATGCATAAAACATCACTTTTTACAGGTCGTAGAGTCATTAAATGTTTGTTAGTGGTACAATTTGTTTAAATAATAATGTGTTTATTAAAATCAAAATATACCACAAATTAATGCAAAATAGGTCGACTAATTTTAATAGGAATATCAGAGGAAAATTAATGATCTATTGGTTAGCAGAGTTTTTAACAAAAACTAACAATTATTGAAAAAAATGGGTATCAATTCGACAGATTTTGAGCAGTTAGTTCAGTACTTTGCCGATAGGAGCGCCACTAAAATTTACGGAAACGACTTTCCAGGTAAAACCCTTATCGCCTGCTCTACCATAGGCTAATTGCTAGAGTTCTCGGCTGATTTTTCTAATTTATGGCAAGGAACTCAGTTTTATAACAAGCCGCCAGGACCGGCCGTAGTAATCTATTGTTAAAGAAATTAACTTTTCCGCAATGAGGTACTATCATAAAACCGAATTAAAACTGGGGAACTATAATATTTTTACTCCACTCAGGATCCTGAATTCAATACACATGATTACTAAAAATTCATTGTAATATTATTTTTAATATATCTTTTGCTTTCTTAATTAATAAAACTAATAAACATATTTATAATAATAATAAAAAATATATAAAATACAGCTTTTGTTTAACACGTATAAGTTGCTAAGTGTATCTACTACTTATCCCAGAAAGGAGGTGTTTAAAAAAAACCCTACGCCCAGTAACTTCTGCCTTCATTGTTTACTCGAAAAAAGTGCTGGTATATGTTTTCATTTGCCGAGAGATAATTTTCAAAATATATTTATAAAAAAAATATGCAAGTCTTGGTGATAAAAAATCTACTCCTAATAAATTATTAAAGTACATACATAAAAAATAGAATCAAATTTTATTTATTTTTAAAAAATCTCTCGCAAAGACAAGTCTTTCTTCTTGAATCAATTATTTCGGGCAATAATGCGCCAAAGTAAAATCTGCCGAGTTTATCTGCCATCTTTTTACATATTTCTTCGTCTTTATAATTTTTTTCTATATTTATTCCTTTGGGTGTCCACACAACAAAATAAAACTTGTGAAATACCCGTAACAAGCATTTGTCCCTGGACTTGAAAGTAGTAATCATGATTTTTTTTTTTAGTTTCAATTCTCTGTCAATGTACAAAATTTGATTATTTTTTTTCTAACCGCTTCTTCGGGAGACAAATCTTGCGATTTTGAAGGGCATTTATTTCGACTAATGCTTTCCTATCCTCTAGAACCCTGTCTGGACTATCAGCCAAGTAAGGAAATTGTTTTGAAATAAACAAGCCACACCGTTCAGTTTTTATATTTTTATTTATTTCAAAACATTTGACAGCTTTTTCCTCACTTTGCTGTCCATAGAATGTACGACTATTACTACTATGTACTGTACAACAGAGACTCCACAGTTTTAGCTATTGCTGTAGTCGGTCTAAGTTTGTAAATACGTCCAAAATTTGAAGCCGTGACCCTAATTTCTTTTGCCCAAATGTGCCTGTTGCCTAGTGTCTATTTCAATTTGGTCTAAATTCAAAGATAATTGTCTCAAAAAAACCTCTTTTGCTGTCACAAATGTTTCTACATTCATGACAGGATTTTCTAAAAAAATATTTAAAACATAATCGCAGTCGGGACCAGCATACGTACATTTTTTTACGACATATTTTTTTTACGAATACTTTGTCTAAGACGAGCTTGTTTCATAGACGAACAATATTTTTTTATTATTAAACCAGGACCGTTTTAATCACAATATATTTACTTATCCGCTCTAAAAAATTGATGACGTCACCTCAAAATTTTGCTGAATAAATCCTATCTAAAATGTACAAAATATAATGAGTCTCTTCTAGTAATTTATCATTCCATTCATATTTTTTGGATTCGGATATACAGGGTGACTCAAAAAATTTAATGAATGCGCGAATTTATTTTATTAATTTAATCAGAAACTACAAAACCGAATGCGTTGAAATCTAACGTGAAAAAAAAACATAATGGGCATGCAGTTGTCACGTTTCCGATAGCGAGGGAAGTACTGTCTAAACTCTTTAGACCAATTTTTTTGATTTTCCCATTTTTCCATTTCTCAATTTTTCAATGTTTCAGTTTGTGAATTTTTCACTGTTTCGATTCTTTAATTTTCCTTTCGTTTTTAGGTTTTTCAATCTTTCAGCTTTGGAATTTTGCAATATTTCGTTTCTTCAATTTTTCAAATTTTTGAGATTGTATTTTCTCGGTTTTTAAATTTTTCGATAGTTTAATTTTACAGTTTTTAAAGTTTTAGGTTTTTACATTTCTCACTATCTCCACTTTTCGATTTTTCAGTTCCATGATTTTTCAATTTGTCGAATTTTTAAATTTTAGATTGTTTGTTCTCGGTCATTCAATTTTCTGAGTTTTCAGGCTTAGATTTTTTTTGTTGTTCAATTCTTGGATTTTTAAAATTTTTGTTTTTTTAATTTTCCTATTTATCAACTTACTGGGATATCAATGTTTTGATTTTTTGATTGTTCAATTTCTCGATTTTTTTAATTTTTAGTTTTTGATACGATTTTTTTTTCAAAAATTTTCAGTTTTTCAATATATTAACTTTACGATATTTCAGTTTTACGATTTTAAAATGTTTTTATTTTTCAGTTTTCAATTTTTGAAGTTTCTAAATTTTTCGATTTTTCAATTTTTCGATTAACTGATTTTTTGATTTTCCCATTTCTCTATTTCTTGATTTTTCAATTCTTTCTTCAATTGTGATTTTTCAATTTTTCGATTTCTGGATTTTTTCACTTTTCCGATTCTTCAATTTTCTTTCCATTTTTCAGTTTTTCAAAATTTCAGTTTTGAATTTTTTCACTTTCTCGATTTTTCAATTTTCCTTCTATTTTTCAGTTTTTCAGTATTTCAGTTCTGAGATTTTGCAATGTTTCGGTTCTTCAATTTTT